AAAAAAAAAGAGATGGCGAATCACCACCCCAAACACCACTGGAGGCAAAGCTAATAGTGTTGTATCATTGAGAGTTCTTGTGGGTCTTCAGAGATGAACATGCTCTTGGCAGGCCAACGTAGGCATCAGGGAAAAGGTAGGATTTGAAATAGGTTTTGAAAATGGAAGAGAGGGGTTATTGGACATAAGAGTATGAGAGGCAAGTGTGGTGAGGAGTAGCACCACAGCTGGCCATCCTGCAGTAAAAGGGAAGCCAGTAGACGCAGCTGGATAATTAGTATGCAATGTGATATGACTACTTGACTGTGTGACAGGATCTTTTAGCAATCCATTGATGATCTTGATGAGAGAATAAAGTTAAGAACATTAATTACAAAGGAAAGAAAAGAAGGCAAGACTATTGGTTAGCAGACTATTGGCCCAGGCCAGATGCGGGTCCAGAAAACTTGAAACAAACACTAGAAAGAGAGTAGGGCACATCCCAGAGGTATCATAGAAGAAAGATTTAACGTCTTTTTCATATTAAGGTGTATTTTTAGTTGATTTGGGGAGCAATTTGCCTATTCCTGGTAGACTGGGGACAGCTTATCAAGAGGTAGAAAACCAAAGCCAAGGGCGGCTGAGATGGTTCAGTGGGTGAAGGCACTTGCTGCCAAACCTGATTACCTGAATTTGATTCCTGACACCTGAACTCCACACACAACAAGGCAGGACACAGATGAATGAATGAATAATAAATAAGCGTAATCTAAACTTTTGTTTAAAGACAAGGGTCTCCCTGTAGCCCCAGCTGGCCTGGAACTCACTATGTAGACCAGGCTGACTGATCTCACAGAAATCTTCCTGCCTCTGCCTCTTGAGTGTTGGGTGTGCCATCATGCCTCACTAATTCAAGCAATTAAAAAAAAAAGAAAAAAGAAAAATCAAAGCAGATCAATTTGCATTCTTCAATAAAGAGTTTAGAGGATATTCTTTCTGATTATTTTGGGAGAAAATCCTTAATCTCTCCCATTCAGTTTAAGTGTAGTGCACAGATTACTGTGAGGTTGGGATAAATGAAACATTTTTGACAATTTTTCAGTCTGATGTGATGCTAGGTTATGTGCTCAGTCCCAGACCAACAACTAATAATAGCAACTTTATAATTACCTCACTCAGCATTTGCAACATTAATCATCTATTTAGTTGTCACTATTATATAAATCAGTATTTTTTCTATTTCCAATCAAGGAAGATAAGAGGTTAAGCAACTTCCTAAAGTCGCTCACTTAGTAAGCACAGAGCAGAATTTGAATCCACATCTTCTGGCTTCAAAGCCTGATCTTTCCCCACATCACAGATTTTTCAGTCCAACACAGCAAAGTGAAGGTGTGTTCTCTTTCAAGAATCAGAATTAAAGGATCAGAATTTTAGGTGTCTGCTCCCTTTAGAGGATCAGAATTTTAGGATATAGACTGATGAGTCTTGACATTTCCTTAATGTAACAAGTTAAGTCTTTATTTAAGGGCTAGAACAACTTGTGATTTTCTTCCATTGGTGGGCTAGACAGATAATAAAAATGATAGCAAAGGTTATTAAAATTTATATGGAGACTAGCACAGATTGGAATAACTACAAAGTGAATTCTTTAAGCTGCAAGAGAAAGGTGGTTTAAAAAAAAAAAGTACAATATGAAGGAAAATTCCTTTAGCTTCAGATACCTAAATATGCCATCAAAAGACTGCTCAATTCTCAAACGCCAGCATTTCCTGACTCCTCTAGAACTTATTTTTTATGTAGAATATCAAAGGCAGCAGGATAGTAGGTGTCCCAAAATGTCTTTATTCAGAGAATTAGTGTTAACTGAGCCTGATTAGCTCCATTTATCTCTAATTAATTACCTTTATCTAATTAGACACTTTGTTTCCAGTAGACATGGAGTCAAGTAGACTAGATTATTAGTGTAGTCATTGTGCCTTTACAAAATCCTGAAATTAATGAAACGTGCAAAAGAATCTGCAGTTCTAATTGCACAGGTGTTGCCTTATGGCAAAGCTTTATCATCTGATTACACCAAGGGGTTATTAGTGACTTTTTATATAGAGGATGAGCCTATGAAATGTACCTTAGCAACAGCTCATTAGTTTAGGGTTGTTACTGTATTATTTATTACATTCAGCCTTCCCCATTATCTAGATTGATTCATGGACCTATATATTTTTTCTCTCATCTGTGCAGAAAAAAATAAAATAAAATAAACCACCATTATGAAGAGTCCAGATGTAATGTAGAAAAATGCAAAATGTGTTCATCAGCTACAATTTGACTCTTTAAGGGGAAAAGCTCTAAAGTTAGATGTGACAAGAATGGAGTTTACTGTTATTTTCTATGAGAAAAGAACCAATTGAAATTACTAAGTAATATCAAAGGATTTATGTATGTAATTAACAAAAGAATCTGTGTCTGTCCTAATGTTTCCACCTAACAGAACTGGCATGTCAAAGAATGTGGAAAGGAAAAAAAGAAAAATATTTTTGCGTTAAACCATATTTGCATTTATTTTCTCTCCATCCTTTCCAAAATGGATTGATAAAACGTAACTTCTGTATGTGTTCTTTGAAGATATTTTTTTTAAAAAACCATCTGTTTCTTACAGTTAGATTTGCTGCCAGATGGAGAAAACTAACAAATTTTACAATCTAGTTTAGCTGCAAAGCAGCAAGATTTCAATGCCTGCTTATAAACATGAAAAGTGCTTTTTCATGGCAAGGTTAGGTATATGCAAACGACTACTACATTTCAACCTTTATATTTTAATTTTTCCCTCATAACTATTTGAAGTGCTGTTTTTCTCAATCATACAGTAATTAAACAGCTAGAAGCAAATCCTGCCACAAGCCTATCCCAACACACAAACATGTTTATTGACGACACAGTAATTCCTTTAAATAATTTGTCAACATGAGTATGCCAAATGGGGTTTTAAGATTTCTCTCCATTGCCCAACCAAAAAAAAAAATTCGTCTACTGTTCTGAGCCATATATTGCCATTCACTTATTGTTGAATCTAAACTAGTGAAATGATAACGGTAACTGTTATCTAGAGCATGACAACTAATTTGAGTAGTAATAATGAATATTTAATGATCCTCCCTTCAAGCATGAACATGTAACTTTTCATGTGTGCCTTACTAAAATTTATAACCATTAATCTAAAAATTATTGTTGGAACTGAAATAATAGCTAAGAATTATAGATTATAGCTAAGTCAGAAGATTGCATGAATATTCTGTATGAACACAGACACAACACTTCTGAATGCAGAAGCCTCCAATCTTGTTTTCCTTTAATCCAAGTCTTCTCTTTGAAAACTATGGGTGTTTTGTGACTAGGAGAGAATTGGATCCAGATATTAAAAAGTTATCATTTCTATCTAGAAATATGCATACTAGCCAAGGTCATTTTCACTCCTCCTTACCTCTATTCATCTACTCAAAAATAACAGGTACATAAAAATGTGGCCCCCACAGAGGTAATATTTATGGAATGCTCTACTCAAATCAAGGAAAGAATAAACATAAAATTTATCAGAGAGGCAGAATTCTTATTCCTTAAATTTCATTTTTTGCACATGGGAAGTTTTCCCAGTGTGTCTATAGAAACTACAATGTGACTTTGGGAAAAGAAAATCTGGGAAATGCATGAAGCTCCTTGAAATGGGCTTTGTGTGTTGATGGAGTTTTTTTTTTATTAAACTTCTAAGTTACTTCATTCCTGGCATCTCCATAAGATTTGAATAATTTCATATGCTTGTGATATTGCAGAGAAACGTTATCTGTCTCCCTTGCTGCTTGGATTTGCTTGCATTGTTACAGGGCAGGTGAAACCAATGCCATTGCAGTTACAAATATGCAATTCTACAGCAAATCCTCATGCACATTATTAATGTTTTTAAAAGTGTGTGCTTATAAAATTCAAGGGGGAAAAGGTTTAATAATATGAGGGAAAGTACCAAGGAAAACCTGAATTTCTCCCAGCTATAACCTTTTTTAACAGAAATGCAATGTCTAACAGGAGTGGTATATGCCTTTAATTCCAGTACTGAATAGGTGGTGGGGAGCGGGGGCTAAGGAAGGAGAAAAGAGAGTTCAAGGCCAGCCCAGGTTATGTAGTGATACCCTGTGGAGGCGGGATAGGTGAAGAGAGAAGGGAAAGGGGAGAAAGGAAATCAGTGTGCAGTTGAATGGTGTGCCACACTGGGTATCTACCTCATCAACATGGCTCTGCCTTTTGAGGACTCCAGTTTACAGGCCAAAAGCAACATGTATTAGAACAAAGTCTCCAACAGTGTACAGATTCAATGAACACATTTCTAACAGAGCAGGTGTTTTTAGCCAGGGCAAGTGAAAATAAGAAAAGCAATTACATATGCTCTCCTTAGCAGGCAAAGTGCTTCAGAAATGTTACGATGGTAACATTTTTAGGGATCCTACTCAACCACATGAACTCCTTAGGAAGCTTCACTGGTTCACCTCAGCAGCCTTGCTAGCACTCCTACTAATATGACCTCTAGTCAACAGTCTTTGTCTCTCTTGAGTTCTCTGGCCTTCCATTTTAGGTTTCTACTGATAGTAAATGTTTATAAAGGAACGTACACCATTAATTATCCCTTAGCAAATTTATATATATTGCATATACACAGACAATATATGTAGTATGATAATGAACATATGTTCAAATGTTGGGATGTTTATCTATCTTTTCATTTACCCTGTATTTTGTGGCTACTTTATCATGTCAAACTTTGGTGAAGGAGCTTCGAATCAAATTCCCTAGAGTCAAGTAGTTCTGAGTAAATGTAGAGCACGGTAGAAGGATGCAAGAAACGAGACAGACACCAGGGGGACAAGTGAAAAGTGAGAAAATGATTTTTTGTTTTTTAAGGGATGGGGCAACCCACTTGTGGACAGTGAGAGAGAAAAAAAGCTGTAGCTGGAGGTGTTTGAACACAGACAATAATA